ACGTAAATTTTCTGCTTTTTTTTAAATTGAAAAGGTTTTTACGTCTGTTTATTGTATATGCCACGCAAAATTACGTCGTATCTTCATAACTGACGTAAATCTACGTCGGGTAAAAGGGTCCGACGTAAATTTACGTCTCCCGCTTTTACGTCGGACTTAAATACGACGTAAAAAGCCCTAAATACCTGACGTAAAAGCCCCTTTTTGCACTAGTGAATATTTATATTCTTAATACATAGAGAAATTTAAAATCTTCTACCAATGAAGCTTTGGAAGGAAGAATAAAAATAAATATACTTGTTGAACTCAAAGGCTAGAGATCTTCTCATGTGTACACTATTCGGAGAAGAGTATAAAAAAGTCCATGTATATAAAAGCGCAAAGCGTACAAGGGTTCCATGGAGGTAAAACATAATAAATTAAGTTTACTTATAATAGAATATGATTTGTTTAACATGGACGAAAATGAAAGCATACATGATATATTTTGAAATAAATTATAGTCTTTATGAAGAAATTATTATTTATATAACCATGTTGATGTAATCTTAAGAAGTTTGCCTAGACAAGTGGTGACCACAAATAGTTAATAGTTCTCAAAGCCAAATCCATTATATGACACACTACTACCAAAGCCATAGAAAAGATAGACAACTTTTCAATTGATAAAGAAGATGATGAGGATCAGCTTGCTTTTATCATTAGACATATACACAACATTCAGAAAAAGAAGAGATTTTGAAACAAAAAACACTTGTCTCAATAACATGAATTCAAAGGTAAATAAAAGATTACTTGTTACAATAGCAAGAAGCTAGATCACATGAAATTCGATTTTTCAGACTATGAGAATACTAAGAGCAAGAGATCGTCATACACAAGACGTGAAAAGAAGAAAGTCTTAATGTCTACTTGGGAAGATTTGGACTCTTCAAAGTCAGATGAGGAGGAAGTCAACCTTTGTTTGATGGTAGACTCAACTACATTAGACACATCGGATGGCGAAGTAGATTTTTTTTTTACCTAAATTCTTTGCATAATGCTTATTATGAACTTTCGTTGAACTTTGAATTACTGTCTAAAAGTTATAAGATTGCCAAAAAGAATTCAAAAAATTCTTTGAACGAGATTGAGGTTTTAAAAACTAAAGTTAAAAAGTCTAGTGAGTTGACAACTGATTTTGAAAAACTTATTCCAGAAAATGAAATTTTTTAAAAAGTGATCTTAGTAGTTAGCAAACTATTTTTAAAAAGAATGAAAGAAATTTGATTGAAAAATCAAAGAGAGTTGAGCAAGAATTTTCTATAGTTGATAGCTCTCAAACCATGGATGACCTAATGCATGGGAATATGACGCTTAAGGTAGTGCTTGCTTGATCATCTAACGGTGACAAAAGTCTTAATCTTATTATCAAAATCTCTAAATATTCAAATGAAAAAATAGGAATAGGTTACAATAAAGATAAATGAAGTTATATGGGTACTTAAGGATAAAATCATTCCTTTGACAATTGTGATTAGTAATAGATAAGAATCACCAATCATAGTACTTTGAGAGTGGATGCTCGTGACACATGACAGGAATATAGTCTATGTTCCTAGACCTTAAACAGAATAAAGAAGAAATAGTAACATTTGAAGGAAAAAAAGGAGAAATAATCAAAATTGGAAGTATAAACTATGCTAGAGATAGAGTTGTAAGCAAGAGCACGAATGGAGGATGTCATTTCCTTAAGAACAACCTAATGTCATGGACTAGCAAGAAGTAAGGGACTATAGCCTTATATACAATGAAGCATAATACAAATCAGTTGTCAACTATTGCACTCAACTATAGAATCAACTAGTAGATTATAATATTCATGATAGTAACATTCCTATTTTGTGTGATAATATTGCTGCAATTAGTTTATCTAAAATCCTATTTTACACTCTTGACCTAAGCATGTAGAAATTAAACACCACTTCATAAAAGATCATGTTTAAAAGGACGTTATGAACTTACAATTTGTAACCACAAAAGATAAGCTAGTTGATATTTTTACTAAACTTTTAGTAGAAGGCAAACTTAATTGCCTAAATATCACTGCTTAGATTCACCTTTATAGAACAATGTTTAATTAATTGTTTATGCATCATTGATTATTCAATATTATTTCATCTAATAAATATTATCATACCACACATATATGCCATAAGTATCTACATGATGAATTATACTGGGCTCACATATATGTATTATTTGGACTAGACTTAACCATTTATAAACCTCAATCCCATGACATATTATCCTTATTGTTATGATCAGAGTTTTTGATTGACATATCAACCGTTTGGATTAATGTAAGACGAACTTACATATATTAGTTAGACATGTCATCTTGCCAAACACTAACTTAGTTGGAAATCCATACATTTTTTTTAACTGGTATATATACTTTTTCTCAATTGATATTAATAATTATTCAAGAACATCTCATTGATATCAATTCTTACTATTAGCTTTTTCAAGTTGTGTCTTATTATGTGCAAACATTTTTTAATATTCTACATGAGGGGAAGTTTCTTAAGTTGTAATAGCTTCTAATGTATTATCTAAGGGAGAGCCTACTCATAATCACTAGACCAAATCCTACTTGAGCAATGATATCTTTATTACTTTTTGCTAATGGCAAAAGAGAGAGAAAGAAAATATAGTGTTTATGATAATTATGAAAGGGAATTATTGATTAAGGGGAAAAATATACATGACCCACGAAAGTTATTACATGCACATATAATTGGTTATGTACAATTTGGAATCATGCATACATGAGTCTACGTATACTTTCCATGCATGGCCTATAAAAGTCTCTTATGCATTATGCAAATCATTACATACATTGTCTAAAGTGTAAGTCTCACATCAAAATTCATCACAAATCTTTTAATATTTGTTATCACTAAAAAGGAGGAGCTTATTACAAACAAATCTCAAACTCATGATTTTAATGATAACAAATACGACTAAGTTTTGATGTATTTAACATGTGTTAAGTGTGATATAAAAAATAAATTAATAATCCCAAATTGAACTAACCGCATTTTATATATAGAATGATTATGTATTATAAATGAAATTTTAAAATATGAAAAAAGATATATAATTATATATTGATTACATCGAATGTGGAAAATAAAAAAAAATTACGTAAAAGAATAAATGTGCAACACTTGTCGCAACCGAAATTGTGATAAGACGATGAATCATATTTTAAGATTAAAAAAAAAATCAAAGTTTTGGAGTTGTCTCCATAATTTATTCAGAACAACTATGGAAAACTATAAAGATAAAATAAAATATATGAAAATCTGATTTGAGTTTAGAAGTCGATTACATGTGAAGAAGATATTAACAACCTACAATGTTCATCCTAAGACGATTATTCTTAGTTTAATGTGCAAAATTGAATGTCATTTTAAAAATATTTTATGTCCCCAAAATCAGAAAATAATAAAAAAAAATAAAAGAATAGACAAAATATTTTTTTTGTTTTTTTCGAAGTCCAACAAAAAATAGAACTTATTCTTATATATCTTCGTTCAAAATGAGAAATTCAAAATAAGAAATCAGAATTTCGTAGTTGTTTATAAAAACAGTTTATAGTAAAAGTTTACGTGATTAATTAATGTTTTGAAAATTTTAACATTTTTTAGAGAGATTTTTGTATTTTATTTTTTTGTTTTCTTTTAAAAGAGTATTGAATAGACTTGCAAAACAAACATTGAACCAACGTAAGACTATGCACACGACCTTACTTATTTTCAAATACTTTATTAAGACACGTGGTGACATATGTGACCATGCTGACACTTCAAAAGTTAATTTTATAAAAGAGAGAACATGACAAAACATACGGTCTTTATTATTTTTGGATAACACACATAAAAATGCATGCTACCACACCTATGCCTATGCCTAAAAAACTTATTAATAAATATTAAAATGAAAAAAAAAAAAAAAAACACTAGGGTTTAAAGTGTGAGTAACCATAATCACAAATGTTTCGTGAGAGCCAACCACCCAAATAATCTAGATCGACAACCACTGAATCATATAAAAATAAAAGAAACCAATCACAGTGATTCGACGCAACAAGATAAAAGTCTTATAACCATTACAACAGAAACCCATTACCGGTAACGACCACCCGGTACAAACAACACAGTTTTGTTTTTAAATATAAATAAATAAATAAAACACTCCAATGCATACAATCGGTTTAAATAATACCATTGGAATCAAACAGCGCAATCAGCCAAGTCCAAAAGAATACCATCGGCCCAATTGGAAAGCACGACAAAGTAACAATATCTTCAACATACCCAAAAATCCCATCTAAACCGAGCGACTCCACCAGGATTAAACGCCTATCAATACACAAGAGCAACATTCTGAAACTAACCAACCACCCTACTCCACCATCAGACCAAACTAAACAAAACGAAACCAGAACCAAACCCTAAACACAAGAACAATGAACCTAACAAAACAAACAAACAAAACCGAATTAAAAGCAAAAGTAACATAGATATTCGACAAAACTAAATTGACAGAAACGGGAGCCCTTGAAAGCATGTATCGATTTAATACTACACACAACCAAAATAACCCACCCCACTCATACCTAACGAAAACGTTGAATAATTTTAACAGGATATACCCAAAACCCTCGACCAAAACCAGTAATACAACAACTTGAACAACCAAAACCAATAGAGACACTAAATAATTAATTTGAACAAAACGAATCCAAACTTCCCCAGTCAACAAAGACACAAATCAAATACAGGGAAGAAGTCAGGGGAGCCAATTCACGATGTGAGCCCACAACCCTGCATCGAATCCTAAACTATCAACTCATGGATCGGCTTGTGGCGAGTGACATGGCGGCGTGACGCGCGCGATCCGAACTCGATCGATGGTGTTGTGAGTGAGAGTCGCTGGTGATGGTTGAGAAAATGTTCACCGATCAAGTGGAGAGAATGAAGATAATGGGGCGATGGTTCTCGCGGTTGCGGAAGCGGCGCAAATGGGATAGGTTACGACAAGGTGGTGGAGGCGATGACTGCGGTGGTTTTCTCTTAGGCTCGCGGTGGTTGTGGTGGTGCCTTATGCGGCCAAAAGGGGATTAAGGCGGAGAAGAGAGATTGGGAACTGAGGGTGAGGCCAGCGAGGACGGTTCACAGTGGCGGTTTAGTGGGTGCTAGGCTTGGATTTTGCGGCACGATGGCTTTGTAGAGGAGGCCTGGGAAAATGATGATGGGCAGCGAGAATGTGAGCTGAGAAGGGATGCTGGGTTTTGGAATTTTGGCTGGTGGAGGCTAGTGGCGCTGATGGGTCGTGGCGTAGAGTGAGGGAGAGTGGGGCGCGGTGGTTAGTGGAGGTTGGGGAGAGGTGGCTTGCCGGTGAGAGGAATAGCCAATGGTGGGTGCTGCAGGATGAAGATGGAATGGCTAGGAAGCGGTGGTGTGCGGTGTGGGTGAGAAGGGTGGAGGTGACGGGTGAAATGGGGATAAGTAGTTTGAAGAGTGGGCCCACGAGATGTGGGGAGAAGCTTGAGAATGTGAGGTGAAACGAAGGTAAGGGGACAGGAGTTTAGCTGCGGGTTTAGACCAAAAAAAAAAGGAGGCAAGAAATATACTTTAATTTGTCTTCTCCATATGCCTCTTGTCCGTTCCTTCTTCGGTGTCTCCCTTTGCAGTTCCAAGAAAAGATGATCCCCATATTACTGTTTATCTCTTTATAAAGCTAACTAAAACCTTTGAGATCAGCCTAGATAAAAAGAGTTGCACCTAAATGAAAATATTGTCTTTTTTATTTTATTTTTTCCTTTTTTTTGTTGTTTATTTTTCATATTAATATTTTTTTTCTTCTTTTCAAAACTAATAAGAGGGACTGATTTCTTCTTTTTGAACACTTTTTTTGTTTTTTGTTTTTTTCTTAATTTTATTTTTTTCATTTTTATTTATATATTATTATTATTATTATTATTATTATTATTATTTAATTTTACCTTTTTTTAATTTTCATTATTTATTCATCTTTATCATTATCACTATTATTGTCTTGTTATTATTATTTTTATTATGAGATAAAATTTATTATTACCGGACAAAAATGGATTTTAACAGCTTAAAATTCAAATATTATCCTAAAATAAAAATATATTATAACTAGAATAAAACAATAACACAACATATATTAAATTGGTTTTCTATCTTTATTAAATTGGATCTAAACAAGTAGCACAACACATACTTACCGTGGCAACAACTCTAGGAGATTCACCAGCATAAACAGTGCATGAACTTTTCCCTCCAAAAATCTCCACTCTGAAGTCACGCTCACTTTCTTTTTTGTTGCATGCGAGGAAGACATCTAAGTGAATCACTCCACTCTGAAGTATTGACGATGTTTTCACGGAAAAGAGCAATTTAGAAGAAGGATTCTTTACACCAGTGAAAACTTGGCATCGCGCGTGCAGTGTCAGTCTCTGCATAAGAATATATGTGGATAACTCAGTAACTACGATGAGAATTTTAATATTCCAAGTTTTTATCTCAACGTTTCACACTTGTGCCCTTGGTTATGATGTACGTCTGTGCTTTTCTAATAACATTATTTACTTTGATGTGTTTGGTCTTTTATGGAACAAGAATTTTTAGTCATCTCAATAACTTACTTTGATTTTCATTCATTCTCATTAACTATGTTTATTTGTTATTGCTAACTAAATAACAAGTATAAAAAATGGTGATGTTCAAAAACTGTATAAGTTGATTGTCCTCGTTGGTTTGCTTTATTTTTTAGGACTTCTACACATGACCAACTAATTGTCACCAGTATTTAACACTTTACTTTGAACCCATAAAAGTTATTAATTAGTATGATTATTCTTTAACTTCTAGTGGGGTAAGGGGAAAACTTGTTTTTCCAACTTTCTTTTATTGCCTTCTTTCTTCACCAGATGGCTTGCATTTAAAACTGCTTCAGTCTTGGATTTGTTGATTGTAAGATGACGAAGAACTAGTTATATGGTTGTTTCAAACATGATTCATATAACTTATTTTCTAATGACATTATTATTTTCGTGTGTTTGAGTTATTCTATGCATGTTTTTTAAACACTTATAATGTTATTTTGTTTTAAAATCACTTAATGATTTTTGAAGTTGTAATAATGTTAAAATATAAAAGTTTAATTATAAGAATTCACGTATGATTATATAATAATTATCTTGAGTCATAATAATAGGTTATTTATTTAAGTTAAGAATCGATGCTTTATAGATAATCTATTATAACTTAAAATAATTGATTAAGTATTTTTTCGTAAAATCTTAAAATCATTTAAAAATAAAATAATTTATCATCACATCTATAATCGATTAACTCTAATTTTAATTTTTTTAAGGAGTTTTAACATAAATTTTAAAAGTAATAAATCTTTACAATCAAATATTCTCTTTTTTTCTCCAATAAGTGCTTTTAAGATTTGCCAGGATTTAAAATATTTTTATGTAATTCATTTTTTATAAAAATATGGTGGGAGAAAATCTTATTATAAGCTTGTTAGATCTCATTATATTCAGTTATTTTGTAAAATTCTATAACAACAAGTGATATCTTTTTTTTTTTTAGAGTATATGTTTTCTATTCTTACATGTTTTCTTTTCACATTTTGACACTAAAATATCTTTAAAAATTACTTCTTAAAGTGTATTTATTTTACATGATTTAATATATATTTTAATAGGTAAATTTGATCAATGGAAAGGAATTTGTTTGATTTTTGTCAAGAGCATCTTCAGTATTTTATTCTATCATCAACAATTAATATTTAAGAAAAAATTTATTTTATTTTTTAGAAGAGATTTTGACTCAAACCTCTATTTATTAGGAATTTAGAAAGTTGCATGTTGCAAAGTAATGAAAGAAAAAAAATAGATAAAATGATGTATATTATCTTTGTGTACAAAAGTTCATATTAAGCTAATTTTTACAAAATATCTGAATTAACTATGTTAACTTAACAACCCTTAATTTAGATTCAACTTCAAAACAACTCCAAGCATTTTCTTGGGTTCTAAAAATCTTTCAGTCTTCATAAACTTGGTAAGAGCATCAACTTGTTGCACCTCACTTCTACAGCCTATCAACTCAATCTTCCTCTTATCTCTAAGATAATGAAATTTAATCTTAATAAGCTTTGATCTTCAATGACCTATTGATTCTTAGTTAACTCAATTATTGTTCAATTATCAACAAATAATTGCATATTTTCTTCATCACCCAAACTCAGTTCTACTATCAATAATTTTAGCTAAATTTCTTGACAAGCATAGTAGACAACTACAAAATAGTCTACTCACAACTAGACAGAATCACTATTTGTTGTTTCTTAGAATACCAAGAAATTGGTGCACCTTGAGACTTGAAAAAAATAGCCAGTAATACTCTTTTTATTTTCTTTTTCCTCACACCAGTTACTATCACAATAACCCAATTAACTTATCTTTGTAATCTTTAGTAAGAAAAATTTCATAATATGTAATTTCCTTGAAATATCTATTGACCAAATTCATATAAATATCTTGAATCAACCATGAATATGCTAGCAACTCTAATTATAAAACATATGTCAGGTATGTTATTATAGACAAATCTTAGAAAATTTTCATATTTATAAAGCGTACTATCAAGAAAAATGCCACTATGATTACAGAAATTTCATACCCAAAAAATATAGGATAAAGTCTTCAAGTCTATCATCTCAAATTCTGAATTCATAGTAAACTTGAATCTATTAATTTTAGCAATATCTAAACTAGTGAATAATAAATCATCAACATAAAGATAGAACATCAACAAGTTGTCTTTGTTCTTCCTTGGCACATAAACACGTCCTCCATTTGAGCCTTTTTAAAGTCAAGCAATAACAAATAAGAGTTTATTCTCCTACTCCAAGCTCTAGAAGCCTACCTTAATCCATATTGCCTTCTTTAACTTATACCTTCTCCTTTTTGCCTTTTAGAATAAAATCAGGTGATTATTTTACATATAACTCCTCTTCCAAAGCTCCACTGAAAAAAAATAGATTTCACATCCAGATGAAAAGAATTCCATCCTCTTAAAACAATAGGTGCAACCACTAACCTTATTATTTTCAATCTACCTATGGGTGTAAACACATCATGATAATTAACACTTTTTTGTAGAAAATCTTTTATCACTGGTCGAACGTTGTATCTCAAGATTGATCCATCATGAAGTAGTTTCACTTTAAACAATAATTGGCTACAATGGATTGGTTCTTTGAAGTTAAATCCATTAATTTCCAAGTCTAATTGTTCTTTGTGGTTAGTAACTTTTTTTTCATGAACCAAATGTCCTTCATCATTTATTGTATTATTAGAGAAACTCACATAATCACCAAGTCTAACATTTTCAATTCTAGCTCTCTGAGACCTCCTATTATGCAAGGTAGGATTTGTTTTTTTAGCATCAAGTTCATTGTACAACTCATCCTCCAATTCATCAATTAGAGGCAACTCATCTAAAATTCTAGCACTTTCCTCAATAGTTTTCCACTTCCAACTTTCATTCTCAACAGGTGACATCTACTCACTACTACTCTTTTGGTATCAGGATTGTAAAGCTTGTACCCACCAGTTGAGTTATAACCAACTAGTAGCATTGGTTCAATTTTGTTATCCACTTTCTTCCTCGTTTGATATAGTATATGCATATAATAAAAAGAGTCAAACATTCTAAAATGATCAACACTAGGCTTCTTTCCAAACTATTTCTCTTCAGGTGTCATGTCATTAAGCTTCTTGGTGTTCAAAATATAAGTTGTTAGCACTACAACTTCACCCTAGAATTCCAATGAAGCTGACTTCCCTTTCAACATGCTTTTCACCATGCTAAGCAAAGATATACTCCTCCTTTCAGCAAGTTCATATGTTGAGGGGTATATGGAGGTGAAGCTCATGTATGATACCCTTTTCACTGCAAAAAGTTTTCAAATTTGGTAGCTATAAATTCTCTTCCTCCATAAGTTCTTAGGAACTTGATATAATTATCACTTTCTTTATTTACTTGTTTCTTCCACTTTTGAAACACTATGAAAGCATCACTTTTCTTACTAATGACAAAAACCCAAAATTTTCTTGTAAAAAAAGATATTAAATACCTGTATCCACCTAATGTAGGTACCTCAACAGGTCCATAAATGTTTGAGTATATGTCTCTAATGAACAAACTACTCTATGGGACACAATAGAATTAAAAGGCTTCCTTGATTTTACCTATCACACATTATTCACATAATACTTTAGGTATATGAATATTAGGAAATCCAACCACCATCTTCTTTAAACAATGCAACTTTAAACTTTCAAACTTCAAATGACCATATCTCTAGTGCTACAATCACCTCACATCATCCACTAAAGCTGCTAGTCAATTAGAGACAGTTCATAGGCTTGTCCTGAAAGTCCTATTCTTGGTAAGTGGAAGACAAACCTATATTGTTGATCATATAAATTTATTACAGCATCATTAACCCTTG